CCTCATTCTGGCCCCTGTGTTACCCCAGCGTGTCTTCCTCATTTTGAACCCTGTATTCCTCCGGTGTCTCACCTGTGTATCACTCCTCAGTGCCCGGTAGTGCTTCCCTGTCCCTTCCCCCTTTTAGTTCACTTACTGCTAGAGTCCGGTGTTCTGTGATTTCTCTCCAGTACAGCGCGGTGTTCCACACAGTCCTCCCGGCTCGGTCCGGATGGTGGTCTGATCAGGGGTGGATCCAGAGTTTAGTCTCGGGAGGGGCACTTCCAGAAAATAAGGTGTTGCTTACAGAACTGCCAAGAGGCTGTGCAGCGTCTCAGGGTGGCTGTGCTGGGTGTCAGGAGCGCTGTTCAGGGTCTAAGAACCCTGTAGAGCCTTGGTTCTCAACTGGTGGGTCCTGACCCAAAAGTGGGTCGCGACCCAGTGTTCAGTGGGTCGCCGCATGCCTTCCACTTTTCTAGGCGAGAGGCTCCTCAGTCTCCCTCTAGCGCAGCACTGTCAGTTCTTGTGCCAAGCAGCCATTCGAAATATGCTGCCCGGCGCAGAGTTTCAGCTTGAGGTGGGATTGGATGGGGCTATGGCCGCGAGGGAGCTCCATCCATACGTGCATTGCTTACAGCTCCCTCACGTGTTCTATAGAGGTGCCTGGACCAGAGTGACTATTCATTTGTATGGTACCCCAAATGCATCTCCCACCAACAGTTTGTATGCCCGCACCAAAACATGCAGTACCCTAATGTTGTGCGTTCCATTGCAGTGTGACTTGGGTCGCAACTTAATGACCAAGGACAAATGGTCTAAACTACTGGAAATATTACCAGTTGTCTCATTTTATCCATTCACTACCGAAACCTTTAAGAACAGCGAAGGAATTTACACCATTCAAATCTCTATTAGGTGCTACGACTGTTCCCTCCCATTGTCTTTCATACTTTTATAAAACAATAATTCGACTTACTTATGACACCCCCCACGATCTATATGAGCAAATGGGAAATGGAATTCAAACGCAAACTTACTCCTGATTAAAGAAATTTTATATTATTCTTAGCGACCTCGTCCTATATTGCCTTGGTTCCCAACTGGTGGGTCGTGACCTAAAAGTGGGTCCCCACCCCATGTTCAGTGGGTCCCCACATGACTTCCACTTTTAATGGCGAGAGACTCCTTAGCCTCCCTCTAGCCCAAGAATTATCATTTTTTGTGCTGAGCAGCCATTCAAAATATGCTTCCCGGTGCTGAGAGTCAGCTTGAGGTGGGATGGGGCTATGGCCACAAGGGCGCTCCATTCATTCATGCATTGCTTACAGCTCCCTCAAGTGACCTGTAGAGGTGCCTGGACCGGATTGGCATCACATTCTGGCTCCTGGCACCTCTACAGGGCTCACAAGGAAACTGTACCAGCAATGCACATATGAATGGAGTTCCGTCAGTGCACAGCACAGCAGCCCACACTGGGCCCCAGGCTGAGGATCCACTCCAGTTCTCTATAAGATCGGTAGACTGGGTGGATCTTTAAAAAAAAAAAATTTGGGAGTGTGTATATGTGTGTGAGATTGTGTGAGATTGTGCCTGTGTTAGTGTGTAGGTATGTCAGTGTTTTTGAGGGCCCGTTCACACTAGTACGGTGTGTTAATCGCACTGTACCACACAAAATCGCACCCACCGTGAATTCTGGTGTGGGAGGTGTGTTGCATTGCCACTCATTTGAATGGCGCCCCAAACGCACCTCCCACCCACAGTTCGATTGCCCCCACCGGAACGCGAGGTACTGCAATGCTGTGAGTTCCAGTGCAGTGTGACTTGGATCATGACTTAATGACCAAGGTCAAATATGGGTCCTGAGGTTACACAGGTTGAGAACTACTGCTGTAGAGGATCTCGCAGGCGGGTGTGGACGGCATGGTTCCCCAAGAAGGAGAATGAGATGTGCGGCCGATGCTGTAAATAGGAGCCGCATGCTTCACATAACGTAATAATAATATATGTATAATGTAATGTATTGCTGGTGGTATTCTGCATTGCTGTAAAATCATTATACAGGAATGCAGAATACCACCAACTATACACTACTACAAATCCAAGCAATACATTTTACAGCAAACCAGCAATGCTGAATACCATCGCCAACTAAAGTGGACTACAAAAAAACCCAGCAATGAATTATACAGCAGTGCAGAATACCACCACTTATAGAGGACTACAAATCCCAGCAATAAATTATACAGCAATTCATAAAGACACTTGCTATAGGGGACTACGAATCCCAGCAATACACTATACAACAATGCAGAATAATATAAAGCTACATACTTTATATTGCTCCAGGTTTGCGGCTGTATGTCTCCAGGCTCTCAGGAGGACTGTGCGGGCTCTCAGGTGGCCAGTGCGGGCTCTTAAGGTGGTCACTGCAGGCTCTCAAGATGGTCACTGCAAGCTCTCAAGTTGGTCAGTGCAAGCTCTCACTGGTCAGTTCAGGGTCTCAAGGTGGCTAGTGCGGCCTCTGGGGGTCAGTGCGCCCTCTGGGGGTCAGTGTGAGCTCAGGTGGTCAGTGTGGCTCTGGTGGTCAGTGCAGCTCTGGTGGTCAGTGGGGCTCGGGTGGTCAGTGTGAGCTCAGTTGGTCAGTGCAGCCTCTAGGGGTCATTGTGAGCTCAGGTGGTCAGTGCCACCTCTGGAGCTCAGTGCGGCCTCTGGTGGTCAGTGGCATCTCTGGGGGTTAGTGGGGCCTCTGGGGGTCAGTGGGGCCACTGGTGGTCAGTGGGGCCTCTGGGGGTCAGTGCGAGCTCAGGTGGTCAGTGCGGCCTCTGGTGGTCAGTGCGGCCTCTGGTGGTCAGTGCGGCCTCTGGGGGTCAGTGGGGCTCTGGGGGTCAGTGCGGCCTCTGGGGGTCAATGCAAGCTCAGGGGGTCAGTGGGGACTCCGGTGGTCAGTGGGGACTCCGGTAAACAGTGGGGCTCTCACCTGGGATTTGGTGTCGTGCTGGTGGCTGCAGGGTCAGCAGATGCAGCTCTCCACTCCTCTCTCGGGCTCCTCCTACTCCTCACTAGGGCCCCGAGAGGCCCCAGAGAGCGGCCCTCTAACATACCTGTTTAGAGGGCCGCCTCTGCCTGATCTGGCCAGCCCGGATCAGCCGGAAACAGCCGTCCGAGAGAGCTGACACTGGGTCTGCTGGTGATGGGGATGGGGCAACTCCGCTCTGTCTGCTCTGCCTGGCCGCTTTGAGAGCTCCAGTGATTAGAGGGCACAGCCATCGGGCATAGCGGGCCGGGCCGAGCAGGGCCAAACACAATCAGGATGATTGAGTTCTGCCCTCCCAGCCCACCGGGCAAGTGCCTGGTTGCCCAATGGCCAGTCTGGCCCTGACTGTGAATGTGCACTATTTAAAGTGCTGTGTAAATTGTTGGTGCTAGGGACCATTGGGGAACAAAAGTAGCCATACTCCAGAAGGAAGGACAGAGACAGCACAAATTCAGAGATTATTTGAGGATCTACAGCAGCTTGATACAAAACAAGAGGCATTTTTATTAACAGTTAAGGTATTTGAATTTATTTTTAAGGTTTAACTAATGAGTATAGTGTCACGTTAATTTTAACTCCAAACATTTATCAAATATGAAAATCACAATCAGCAGAGTGTAATTTGGACACTTGTTAGTGTCACTTTAACACTTGTCGTTCCGTTCATGTACATTACCAGTAGTTTGTGCTGCAAACATATTTAGATTAATATATTATTCTGGCTGGTATGTGTAGGACCAACCGTGACATATATTGATTTCAATATACGGTATTTCAGTTTATTTGTCATTTTTGCATACGGGTATTAATTGTATATTAAATCATGTCTCTCTATTCCTTCACCCAACAATCATGTTCCCAACAGTAGATTATGTGGTATATAAAGTTTATCAAAACTTTTTTTATTGTCTTTCAATGTGTGACAATGAGTTAATAAAGTTAATTGATAGATGCGTTCCAAGCTGCAACATGTCACCATTTCTATACAGATAAAAAGAAGTGTTGTACATACATATACAAACCCATACCACTAGAAAGCTATTTCTTATGCTCCTCAGTTCCAACTAGTGGCCTAATGCAGTATTACATTACATACATTTGGCCTGAAAAGAAAATATATCTTGCATGTTAAAATGTGCATATTATTGTGTGTCACTGGAACACAATAGCCTGAATGGGTCCTAAAGATAAAAAATAAAAACATTTATAGTCATACGTCACCAATAATAAATCATGTGATTACTTCAGATTCAGCATTTCTAATATTAAATATCTAATTTGGTCATTTGTTAAAGATACACAAAAAAGGGAATGATAAATGTATGTGTATACATATATATATATATACACATATATATATATATATATAATATACACACACACACACACACACACTAGGTATGGGGCACTCGCAGGTCTTGCAGCTGAAATAAGTCAAAGCATTAGCATTGTATTGTCAACGTTTCAACGGAGCTCACTCCGTCTTTATACATGCTCATACATACAGTATGTGACTGATGACACTGATAGAAAAATTGTTCAATCAATGTTTTACTCTACCCTGCTTTGTTCTAGGGGTTTGCACGCGGGAACCCCCGACAACTGAGGCCAGTGTTATTGATGTGAGCTAAATTTTCTTTCCTTAATTGAAGCCAAATGTTGCACAGGTTGCATGCCGGGAACTCTGGCAGCCTCTCTGACATACACTGAAACTTTCTGAAAGGCATCTTATATCAGGCACATTACTGAACCTCCCTGCAGACATTTCCTTTGGAAACAGACGTTTCTCTCTCCTTTTTCTTCGGCTTATACAGCTCTGGATTTTCTGTTTGCAGTCTGAGGATCTTCGCCGACACATACGCAGAAACTAATTATTTTTCAAGAAAATAATGTGTAAATACCTAGTTACAAATTGTATTTATTCAGAGTTATGGCACTACTCCAGATAAACGAAGAATTTGTAAAGAAGAAATGCTCTAAAGAAAAAAGCACTAATCGAAGATGCTAAAGTCTTGTCACAGTTAATAAATCTTGAAATTCTGCCAAAGCCTCCTGAGAACGACATATGAAATCTCTTCACCTGACATGTAAGTTTTAAATTTAAAGTACAGTTTATTTCATGTTGTGTTAAGCTGTTCAAATGTGTACTCTACATTTTGGTCTGGCAAGATAATGTTAACAGCCTGGCATGGTGTTGCTGGCTCCTCTTGTAGAAATGGAGATTAAACCAGAAAACATTCAGAAGTGGTTTGAGGTAGTGAATTTAAAAGAAAATATTTTTTATTTTAATTCTCACATTTTAACATGCTTGTTGTATTCATATTCCAAAATTAGTTTATAATGTTTGAGAAAGCAAGTGTTGTTACATTGTATACTGTATGTAAGAAAGAACAACTTACCAC